TGCTAATTGGCTGAAGGGTCGTACTCAGAGGGTGGTGGTGGACGGGTCATATTCGACCTGGGGGGGAAGTGGGCAGCGGAGTCCCCCAGGGCTCAGTCCTTGGGCCCGCACTGTTCAATTTCTTTATCCGCGATTTGGACCACAGGGTGAAAAGCAACCTGTTCAAATTTGCTGATGATACCAAAATTTGGGGTGAGGTGGGCACGCTAGTAGGGAGGGAAAGACTGCAGAAAGATCTGGATAGGTTGCAAGGGTGGGCTAACAAAAACAGGATGCGTTTCAATACGGACAAGTGCAGGGTGCTACACTTCGGCAGTAGTAACCGGCAACACATTTATAAGATGGGAAACTCCATTCTTGAGGGCACGGAGGCAGAAAGGGATCTTGGAGTCACCACTGACTCCAGGATGAACGTGGGCCGACAATGCGAGGTCACGGTCAGCAGGGCTAACCGGACCCTATCGTGCATCCACAGGTGCATCTCAAGTAGGGCCAAGGAGGTGATCCTCCCCCTCTAAGCGACACTGGTTAGGCCACAGCTGGAGTATTGTGTCCAGTTCTGGGCACCCCACTTCAAGAGGGATGTGGACAACATTGAGAAGGTCCAGAGGAGGACCACCTGCATGATCTGGGGACAGCAGGGCAGACCCTACAATGAGAGGCTACGGGACCTGAACCTGTTCAGCCTTCACAAGAGAAGGCTGAGGGGGGACCTGGGGACCGTCTATAAACTCACTAGGGGAGACCAGAAGGGTTTGGGGGAGACCTTGTTTCCCCTAGCGCCCCCCGGGATAACAAGGAATAAGGGCCACAAGTTGCTAGAGAGTAGGTTTAGATTAGACATCCGTAAGAACTACTTCACAGTCAGGGCGGCTAGGACCTGGAACCAACTTCCAAGGGAAGTGGTGCTGCCTACCTGGCTGGGGTCACTTGAGCCCAGTTTCCCTCCTGCCCAGGCAGGGGGTTGGACTTGAAGATCTATAAGGTCCCTTCCGACCCTACTTCTATGATTCTATGATAGTGAGGGCAGATCGAGACCCACACGGTGAGGAATGGAGTGGGAGTGGGGCAGGGGGAGGTGCTGCCAGGTGGGGGCAGGGTGGGGCGTGGGACAGAGCTGCGGGCAGCTTGTCCAGAGGGCACGGGGTGCAAAGATGGGGGGCGGCTCCCCACTGCTGCACGCACCCCCAGAGACGGCATGGGGGGGGACACGTACCCCTGGATTTCTGTGTGGGGCAAGGGCGGGCTGCCCACTGTGTGCTTGGGGCCAGGGGCTGTGCCAGCCTCTTTCCAATGGGGGCTGGGCTGGGGCTGCAGTCAGGGTGCGTGGGGATGGAGCTGGCCAGCAACAGTGCTGGGAGGGGGGTTATGGGGTGGGCTATAGTCATCCCAAAATTTGTTGTAGCCATCCCGTAGCCTCCTCTCCCAGCACTGTCGCCTGCCCCACCCCCACCCGTCCCTAGCACAGCCTCGGCCTAGCCCCTCTGCCAGGAAGAGGCCAACGCAGCCCCTGGCCCCAAGCCCTCAGCAGGCAGCCCGCCCTCACCCCATACACAAATCGCACATGCCCCCCATGCCTCCCACAGGGTGCACACAGCAGCAGGAGTCACCCCCACCACCCCCCTACATGAGGCTGCCTGTGGCTCTGTCCTATGCCCCACCCTGGCTGGACAGCACCTGCCCCTACCCCATTCCCTCCCACACAGTGGGGGCCCTGATCTGCCCCCCAGCACACCTCATCCCTCCCTCACAGGCATACCAGCCAGACTCTGTTCTCCAAGCTGCCAGGCTGCATGTCTAAGTAGGCATATGCCAAATGCTGAGCAGAGGGGAGCGGGTAGCGCAGCGCACGGCAGAATGTCAAGTGGTGGGGAGCAGGAGTGGCATGCGGCCAGATACAGATCACAGAGGCGGGAATGGAATGCAGGAACGGAGCTCCACCGCCTCCAAGGAGCAGAGCCAGGGTGGGGTACGTGGGCAAGCTCACCGGGCTGGGGTGACGGCAGCAGCACCTGTGGGTGGGGACGCTCTCTAGGTGGGTGTGTGGTGGCAGCAGCCACCACGTGTGAGCTTCCCTGCCCTGCAGAGGGGTGCTGCTGCCCTCACCATGCTCCAGCCCTACTCCTCGGAGGTGGCGACGCTCCTTCCCCACCCACCCATGCGTACCCCCTAGGACTGGTCCAAGTACTCCTAGGAGTATGCGTACCCCCGGCTGACAATCCCTGGGCTATCGGATCGATATTGGCTGATACGGCTTGTTAATAATCGGCCATCGGTACTGGCCAAAAAAATCTTTATCAGTGCACCCCAAGTTCCAGAAACATCGCTGATTGGGAACTAGCTCACAAGTGTCCTGGTTTTAAGGCAGGCTTCGGCTTCCTAGACAACGACCCACACATCAGGATGAGAGACATGCTTGGGTGGGATGGGTTTCACCTTTACCCCAAAGGTAAGCACATGTTCTCTTCTAGGTTGGCTAATCTTCTCCGGCGGACTTTAAACTAGGTTCGTCGGGGAAAGGGGAAGACGAAGACAGAGGAAGCCTTGGACCACTAAACCAAGCGTCATCCACAAGAACAGCCCAGCCTAGACCGACAACGAGCAGAGCAAATACCCAGGTAAGCAACAGGGGCCCCGGGTAGTACTGAGATTAGGAAGCCAGTGGACGCATCTTCAGGAGGCCTCAAATGCCTCTACACAAATGCTCATAGTATGGGGAACAAGCAGGAGGAACTTACCCTCCTGCTAGCTGACACCAACCCAGACACAGTGGGGCTCACCGAAACATGGTGGGACCCAACACACAACTGGGCAGTGAATATCAAGGGCTATAGGCTGTACAGGAGGGATACGACAGGGAGGAAAGGTGGGGGTGTGGCGCTCTACATCAAGGAGACATACACATCCTCAACGAGTAGCATGGGGTCAGAGAAGGGGCACACTAAAGTGCTCTGGGTTAGAATCCAAGGAAGTCAAGGGGAAAGGGACTTAATGGTGGGGGTCTACTATAGACCACCCAACCAAGGGGAAGAGCTAGACTGGGAATTCTTGTCAGCTCATGGAGGTAGTTAGGTCAAAGGACGTCATCATGGGTGACCTGAACTTTCCAGACATCTGCTGGGAAAAGCAGTCAGCCAGGTCTGACTGCTCACGTAGGTCCCTAGCTGAGATACAGGACCTCCATCTAACCCAGGAGATGCACAGCCACACCAGGGGAGATGCCTTGCTGGATCTGGTCCTGGACACGGGCGATGAGGGGTCTGCGGATGCTCAACCACCTGGGCAACAGTGATCATCGCCTGCTGGAATTCACCATCCAGCACAAGGTGGCAAAGCCCTGCAGCAAGGGAGCAGCCCTGGACTTCAGGAGGACGGATTTCAATGAGGTAAGGAGAAAAGTCGGGGAGGCACTGAGGTCCCAGAGGGGAGAGGAGTTGAGTGTCCAAGAAGATTGGTCGTTCATTAAGGAGACGACCCTCCAAGCCCAAGGGGAGGTAATCCCAACACGGATCAAAGGGGGCAAGAGGGCGCAAAAGCCCCCATGGCTCACCAAAAGCATATGGGAATGTCTCCTAGCTAAAAAGGAAGTGTACACCAATAGAAGAGAGGGGCCATCACCAGGGAGGCCTATACCTCGGTTGCTTGGGACTGTAGGGGGGTGGTCAGGAAGGCCAAGGCAGAGATGGAACTGGGACTAGCTACCTGGATCAAAGACAACAAGAAGTCCTTTTTTAAATACACAGGGGGGTAAAAA